CCCAACTCCAATCCACGCTCGACGCTTTCGAAGCCGGCGCCCCCTGGTCCAATCCACCAGGCACAGCGGCAGAGAGGTCTTACTTTCTCCGCCGTCAACCGAGCAGCTCTCCCGAGCCACAAGATCCTTTGCCAGCAGATGGCGACTCGAGAGTCGAGGACTCAAATGGACGAGACCGACCGCGCGATCCGCAAAGAGCTCATCCTGCCCCATTTGCGGCTCTTCCACCCGCCAAGAGGCCCCGTCTGGGCATGGGCAGACCGCATGGTCAGCCTGCAGGCCCTGCGCTCGCAATGGCGCCTCACGAGGAACGCGTGTCAGCTCAGACGACGAGCGCATTGCAGCGACCCGTTTCGCTAGCACCTCGCACCCTCTCCACATCGGCATTGCAGCGCCCGCAACCCGGTCCAGACGAAGTCTTCATATCACACGATGGTCGAGGTAGCTTGCAAGGGCATGCTCTGCCTCGCGCTCCTGCGACCACTTGCGCAAAGGGTAGCAGGAGTGTCATGGGCGCCGATGAGGATTGGGATATGGACGATCCGGATCTATGGGCGGACGAGGAGTCTTTGAGAATGGCGGAAGAGGCTGCCGTGTTCCAGGCTAGTCAAGCGGTCAGAGCCAGTCAGATGCAGTCGGAACTCATTTCTGCGACTGGTCGACCGGCTCCCTTGCCTTACGGGCGTCAAAATGTTGGTCTGGGATCCGACCAGGCGCGCAACAGCCGTGTGCTAGCTAGGACGGAGAGCGCGCCCGCAATCAGTCCCTCTAGTGCCGAGAAACATTCTCGTGCGCAAGAGCAACGACATGCAGTACAAGATTCATCCACTCTCGGGACGTTTCAGCAGCTTACGAACGGGCGCCATGATGCAGCATCCGGTATGCCCAATCGAGCGGGCACGCCCACAAACGTGAGGTCGATCGCGGGTGTTGCGGTAGTGGGAGGACTGCCAAAGGTAGATCAGCAGAGCAGAGCGGGCAGCCGAAATCCGATGGTGACGCCAATTGCAGATCTTGCAGGGACAGCTGAAGAAAAATTACGTCAGCTGGAGGACGAAAGACGTAAGGCCCGCCAAGCTGCCGATGGGGAGATCAACATCCTCCGCTCTAGGCACACCAAACTTGAGAAGGAAGCTGACCAACTACGCAAGCAAAATGCTGAGCTTGCCGTCCGGCATGCAGATGAGCTGGAAAGGATAAGGCGTGAAAGAGAGGAGGAGAGGATGGCGAACGAAAGGCAGGCGGCCTTTGGAGTGAGTACCACACTAGCCAGCTCGGTCGCTTTGTCACATGTAGCGCTGATCAGCCAGGATGGCTGCCCTTCGCCGATCCAGCACATTCAAAATGCGACCTCTTCGCGCTGGGTGGCTGGAGGCTCAGTGCGACGGAGGGCGCCTGCAACGCTTTTGCGCGATGGATCAGGGCCAAACAGTAGTGCTGCACAAAGGGCGGGGCTGACGACGCCGACCAAAAGGGGTGGTCGTATGCTTCGCAATCTCGGCTCAGGAGGACGCTCTCAAGATCGAGAGTCGGAAGAGAGCCCCAGAAGCCAGAGGAGGGCCAACGATATTCGTGAGTCCATTTCCTGATTTATAACCAGCAGTAGAGTCTGACGGACGGCACGCATCGTTTGTACCGCTAGTGCCGTTCCCGAACCTCGACAACTCGTTCGCCTTGCCCAAGTCGCGTCGCGCCTCTCACAAAGAGCAGCAGACACTCACTGAACCCCAATTTCTGGGAGAGTCTCCGTCGTCGCAATTGCCGGGCACTCCGACGGCATGCGTCCTCGAGGCGAAGCAAAAACGCGAAAGCTTGTGGTCCGACCCCCTCGCGCGATACCCCTGGATGCAAGCGAGCTACACGAAGAAGCGCGCAGAACTGCTTGGGTCAGTCATAGCGCACACGAAAGGTCTGCAAGAATCCGTGTTACTGCCTGTTGCAGATTCTGCCCAAGACGAGACACACGCTAGAGCTGCACAAGGGGCTTCTCAGGATCGCACTCTGCAGAGGCTCTTGAATGCGAGTTTGTCCCGACACACCGACCGAAGTCTACAAGTTACATACGCAATGGCTTGCTCCGAGCTACTGGCTCTGCTTAGCAGTCCCTCAGATGCCTCGCTCCGCTTCTCCTTCTTAGCGCACCGTCTTGGAAAAGATCAAGGCAACAAAGAACTTGAAGACGAAGACTGGTACGATGCGAACGATCTCTTTGAGCAGGGTCTGGACGGAACCGTCGAAGAGTTGGTCCAAATTCTTCTCAGATTCCTGAGCGTCTTCTGGGATTCCCGCAGCGTGAGTGTGCGATCATGCGCTTGAGGTGGCAGCTGCGTGAGGTTCGGAATGGCTCGGTACAGACTGACGCTTCTGTCGCCTCTCACCTCATTAGTTAGATGGTATCATAGATGTACTGGATCTCTTCACCAGTCTCTCCCTGCGCCACGCGTCTGCTATACGCGCAGCGTTGTTTGTCAGCGATTCGAGTGAACAAGAACGGGAGTTTCAGCAAAATGAAGACGATGCTATGGAAGAAGTTGTGCAGACTGACGATTCGGCTGCTGCTCGCGATGAGCAGCGCCTAGACACTCCATCAAAGCGGCGAAAGCCGGGCCGTCCACGAAAAGGAATGTCATTCGCGGAAACTTTAATCGCATACGTGCGATTGGCTGCCACGCCAGCAAGACAGGCCAAAGCGAAGAGCGAGGCCGCCCAGGCATTTCAGACGACATCTTTGGACAAGAAGCTGCACCTTCCTACCGCGGCTAGGCCTGACGACGACTGCCTTTCGCAGCCTGCAGAGACTGATGAAGTACATGCCTCGTGGCAGCTGACGACTTTCGACTCGGAGAGATTGTTGGCGGCAGTGGCGCACGTGCTTCAGGTGATGAGTGTCGTGCTCCAGACGCACGAAGTTGAAACGTGAGTGGTGCTTGCCTCTCGACATGAATCAAGGGAGTCTGACACACGCCTGCTTGTTCCCACCAACAAGCTTGCGCCAACTATTCAAGGCGGACGGATTTCTTGGGACTCTGTTGCTGAGCAGTCGCTCGACGTCTACCTTGCTTCGCGTTTTAAGGATGTTGACGTCCGCGATTCGGTGTGAGTTTTGGGACCTAAATGTATTCAAGCAAAGCTCACGCTCACTTGGATGCTCTAGTTCCGAGTGCTTGGCACGTCATTCTAGCATGTCCCATGGATAAGACAGACCTTGCTGCTTTGCATCCGCGCGTCTCGAACTCTCCTGCCCCGCTGTTCGAGCTGCTCTGTGCGTTGTTGAAAGACTCCGAAACGGCACGACGACCTTCATCAGAGGTGAGCACGCGCAGCCCTCTTCACTAATAGTCGTACTCGCG